ACATATTTCTATGCCTCCCCCCCCCCCATAAGGCTTGGGCAGGTGAAAGTGACATTTAGTTTGGCTTCGCTGGTTTTATCATCCCCCCTGGTGTTGAGGATCAAATCCACTGCCTTGGGTACGTGCTGATGGAGCACAGGCTGGTGGCGCCACCGAGCTACATTCCCCCTCTCTAAGAAAGATGGTTTTGTTGGAATGGTTTTATATTGTCATTGAGAGTAGACAGTGATGAGGTCCCCTTCACTTGATGTCTAGGGTGAATAATGCGGCCGAAGTTGAGGAAAGACAGGGATTCATGAGATCTCGTGCTTGGAAGTCCTCCTCGTTCTAGGGAGAAGACACATTGGGTTAGAATGTGGGTTCAGTGTGAATCAGCTTTAGCGAAGTGCCTGCTCTTTCCTGGGCACGATATAGGAGGCATTCCACATTCGCAAATTAGTAGCTTCCGTTTTTTTAGAGATAAGTGTTAATTCAATCCATTGTAGCTAAATCTAAAGAGTTTTATGAATATCGTTTGCTCTGGACTAAAAACAGAATCATCAACCATTGACCTAACAGTGAAATTATGATTGACAAAAAGCTGTTTTCTTTGCATAAGTATTGATATTGACCAATAAATCATACGCTGTCCATGTGCTGACAAGGTACATTCAAAGGCAGAGTATGGGCCAAGCAGTTCCAGTGACAGGGAGTGGCTATAGGGACCCAGCAGTTCACTCTGCTTAAGCATCATCTTCTTGAGAAAGGTTCCGTTTTGGTGTTTGATTTACAATAGAATTTTAATTTCCACAGAGTTTTCACCAATATTTCATTGTTTCTCCACATATGACAACTCATTAAATCTCTCACTCTTTCTCCTGGGCATATATGTCAACACAAGTTCATCTTCCAACCCAGGACACATCGATTCTTGTGTTCCAGGAACGTCTGACCCGTGCACAGTGTACCGAGGGCAACACTTGACAGCTAAGATGTCAGGTAACAAGTGACAGTTAATAAACATCTACAAGTTAAGACCACTAGAATGGAGAACTGCCACAACCCGAGAACAGAGGTCCAGAGAGATGACTGATGTCCTCACCAAGCAGATGCCCCGGAGGACCCAGCAGGGTTCTCACAGCTAAAAAACAAAACCAGTAAAAGAATTTGTACAAGTTTCAAACACACTACCCCTTCAGAAGAAAATTCCCTACAAACTTGTGTTCACAGCTTATCTACCCGACACACAAAGGGAGGCAGTGATGGATTGTAAACATGCATTTGACTTGAGGTATCAACTCATGGGATGCCCGTGGCTTATCAGCTTCCACAAGCAGACACTGCAGTGAGCACTCAGCAATAACCCCCGCTGGAGATCCTCAGAGCAGGGATCTAGAGTCAGAGAAATCCAATGCAAAACGGTAAGGAACAAAAGACAATTTCTGTAGTATGTCTGGGGTCTTAACACTTTGTTTTTAGAAGTTTCTCTCTCCCTACACACTTATTAATGAGCTGAACTGGAAAGCGTGGCCAAGACAAATTTAATAGAAAAAAATGCATCCATAATTCAAAACAACAGTAGACTGTGTTCATTCTGAAAATTCAAAAACTGTTCATAATTTCCTTACTAAGGGTGAAAGTGGGAATTATCCAGAGACAAATATAAGTCTTTGACTACTTTTGTGCGCAGGGACTGTTTCAGTGGTTGTGAAAACATAAGAGAAAGACATGAATCTTCTAGAAGAAGATCAAACTTGATCCAATTTGATGGTGAGAACAAAGTCTTTCTTTTTTCTTGGCCTCCCATCTAGAGTGTTAAATATGCGAACACACAAACAGACATTCCAAAAGTAAGTTTCTCTCCAGGTTTCTCAATTGAAGTTCAAAGTTTATGGAGATTTCGGTCATCAGTCCTGCTAAACAGGGTGACGTCATCATCATAGCCCGAGGCTGCACAGTCTGCATTCTCTAATAAAACATAACTGTTCTGATGGCAATTTGGAGAAAGGACTTCCATCTTAGCAGTGGATGTGAGCTCACTCCAGGTGATGTCTGTGTTTTTAAAAGCATGTAGAAGAAAGATGCCATTGATGATGGTGAAGAATCCACTCAGGGTCCCAATGACATCTCTGGCTTTCATGCCATACCACTCCTGGAACAAAATGGCAGAACAGGTCACCACCATGGATGTGAAGAACACGTAATAAATGGGAGTCACCAGAGATGTGTTAAAAGTGTCCAGGGCTTTGTTGAGATAGTTAATCTGTGTCGTCACTGAGAGGACAAGCACAGCCAACAGGATGAAGACGAGGGGGTTCTTGTAAACAGGCTTCCACTCCAGCAGCTCCTTGGCGGCGATTCCCAAGCCCTTGGCAGAAGAAACTGAAAAGGCTCCGATCAAAGAGCAGATTGCAATGTAGACCAAGATATTGGTCTGTCCTTTCTTTGGTGCCACGAGCACAATCAGCACCAAGGAGATCACAGAGACGATCAGAGCAAAGGAAACGAACCCTGTTAGGAGGAGAAAGAGTCAGACTCAGGAGATGCTAACAGGACCAAACCTTCCTGAGGTACCACGCGTCATCAATTTAAGAGCACAGGATTTCGAACAAGTGGAGTAAATAAATGCCGTTTGGCTCCTTAGTGATTCATAGAGCAATTCACAAACATATCATCTGAATCGCCACAGTATCACTGCAAGACTGGCCAGGTGTAGCATTTTCTATTTTTCCTTAAGGAAGAAGGGGCAGGAATCTGGGATCATTAAGAATCCTTTGTTGTTGGGCAGTGGCTCACGACTTTAATCCCAGCACTCGGGAGGCAGAGGCAGGTGGATCTCTGTGAGTTCGAGGCCAGTCTGGTCTACAGAGCTAGTTCCAAGAAGGCTCCAAAACTACAGAGTAACTCTGTCTCGAAAAACCAAAACAAGAGACAAAACAACAACCAAAAATACAACAACAAAAACCAAACTAATTGTTAACTTCTTGAAAAAGTTATAATGAACAAATCTCACTGTGGTTTACAATCCGTGGCAGACTTGTTGGGCACCTTCAGTATCAACACACATTTCCTTTGGTGATGGACATGGCGGAGCATGGGTGATGTCAGTACTCAGGAGACTGACAAAGAGGGCTGTACATTCAAAACTCTCCTTGAATGTGTGTGTGTGTGTGTGTGTGTGTGTGTGTATCTCGAGGGCCTATCACAATCAAACCAAACCAAGACAAAAGCAAGTATGCAGACATCATTTAAAGGAAAGAAGAAAGTGACATCAGTGGGTTTTATTTCTTCCCTTTTGTTTGGTTTTGCTTTGTTTTTAAGGCTGAATCACTGACCTGGATCCCTCAGTTTTATTTCCATCTCGTGCAAAGAAGTGACTTCTTCCTCTTGCGGGGCATGGATAACCATCACAGTGGACCCCAATATGCTTAATATGCAGCCTATTTTCCCATGAATGTTCAAGTGCTCGTTTAAAAAGTAGGAAGACAATATTGCGCTGTTGAGAGAGAGAAACAAAATCACCACCGATCAACTACTGTTTGATTCCACCGCAGTTTAGAGGTCGCACTAACGCTCGTGTTCACTGCACCCCACGGAGCTGACTAGAATATGCTCTGTGACGCTGAAAGGCCTTAAATGAATAGCTCAGAAATGATGGTTAAGAAAAAAAAAAAAAAGAAATGATGGTTAAGGATCCCTGTTCTACTGCGTTTACAGCTTGGGAGACACCATAGGCATGGAATGCTCCTGTTTTCTCCCCATTGCCACAGAGTTTAACTAGCTTCCAACCATCCCTTGTAAAGCAACTGCAATGAAAAGTATTTTATAGCTTTCTGGCAACAGTGAACACCCTTATCTGCAATGCTTCGGTGGCAGGTGTTTTGGAGGTGGCTTGTTTGCAAGGACGAGAGCTCTTAGGGAGGGAGCCTGACCTTAAATAGAAGATTCATCTGTACGTCATAAAGGCTTGACAGACTGACCGGAGGGAAATGTTACACAGTATGTGTGATACGCTCATGTTTCCACTCCAGTCTGTCACGTGAGGTCAGGCAAGGAACTTTTCACGCAGGCATCCTACGCAGGCTCAGAATATTTCCAATTTAGGATGACCTTGGGTTTGAGTTTTGAATTAGGGATGGTCAAGCTGTACCCTGCTGTTTCAAAGGTACACACCCTAGGCTGAGGAGATGGGCCATTCAGTAGTGTCGACGGCACAAGAATCAGTACCTGAGTTTCACAACTAGGACTCTTATAAAGCACAAACAAACAAACCAGTGTGGTTGTGCATAGTTTTAAAACCCCAGTGCTGGGGAGGTAGAGACAAAAGGATTGAGGGCTTGCTGGTCAGTGACCTATTTGTCAAGTTCCAGATCGGTGAGAGACCTTGTCTCAAGATAAAAAGGTGCACAATGTGTGAAGAATGACCCTTGAGGCTGTCCTTTGGCCCTCATTACACACACACACACACACACACACACACACACACACACACACACACACGGGGTGGGGGAATAGATAGATACCTAGCTAGCAGGTGCTCTGTTCAGAGTTGATACATAACTAACACATACCTGTACAACCATACAGACTGTCAAACAGTGAAACACTTTCTCATGTCTACTCCTGCCTGGGTATTTCTGACTAGCTAATGCTCTCAATGCCTCGCTTGCCATGGTTTGCTTGCTAAGTGCTCAAGGTTGGCACTACCATAGATACCATAGATACCATAGATAGAGTAGGACACTCTGCTGCCACACCAAACAGCTCTCTGAGACTTCTGCCCATCAGCCTCCTTTCTTACCATTCCCAATAAATGGTGCCATTTGACCTCTAGACTGTGAGTATTTAGGAATCAGAATCAGGTGCTTTCTCAGAGTTGCCCCCTCGTGGTCACTTGTGGGACTGCAGTGCCAGCGAAAAAAAGTCTTCAGACAGCTAACACATTAGTTTATTTAATTCTCTCAATTCTATAGAGACACAAAGGAGAAGTATATAGGCCTAGCCAGAAGTTTTCTACTAGGTACTGATAATTTACAGACTCTAAAGAGACAAAGACAACAAACTGGAAGTCAAGGCACACAAAGAGTTCACAGGTCATCAAGCAAGTTGGTTGGAAGCTCAACGCAGATCAACTCAGAAAAGTCAGACCCCGTGTGCTGGTTGGTTTTGTTAACTTAGCACAAACTAGAGTCACCTGGGGAGAGGGAGCCTCAATTATGGAGTTGCCAACATCAGACTGGTTTGCAGGCATTTCTTGATTAATGATTGATGTGGAAGGGCCCAGCCCACTAGGAGTGTTGCAACCCTGGACAAGTGTTCCCAGGTTGTAGAAGAGAACGTGCTGATGGAGCCGTAGGGAACCAGCCAGCGAACACTGTCTGCATGGCTCCTGCTCCATCTCCTACCCTGAGCTCCAGCCCTGGCCTCCCTCAGTGACAGACTAGATAGGAACTGACCCTGCCCTCCCCCAGCTCATTTTGGTGACTCGGTTTATCCCAGAAACAAAAATCCAAGTAGGACCGCCATGTACTGTAAGACAGGAAATCCTGCCACAGGGCACCCAGCACAGGTACCCGGCAGGCAGGGGTGGGGTTTTAGTGAGGGCTGAAGTGTAGCTTAAACATGATGGGTGCCTTTGAAGCCCTCTGATAACTGCTGTCCTTAGTCACTATGGCAACAAGGAAAATTCAAAGGAGTTTCACAGTTTACTCAGATGAGAGGTACAAACCACACCAAAAACCTCTAGCTAGGCTTCACTGTGTCAGCACACACACACACACACACACACACACACACACACACACACACACAATTTATAATCACCTTGTTAGTAGTAAGCCAAGCTCTCCTGTCAGGTTTTTCTCTCTCTTCTTTTTGTTTTTATTTTGCTTGTTAACAACTTGCCAACGTATGTCTTATGTCTCTTGCTGTCTTTATGTAGATTTCTCAAAAAAATTTTTTTTCAGAGGCAAGATTAGTTTTTTTTTTCTTTCCTGGGGATCAAACTCAAGGCCCAAGAAATAATCTTTTATGCCTATATTATAAATGGCGTCTCTCTACACTCTCAGGAGTCCCAGACATTATTTGAGGCCGTATGTGTTTTAAGAACTCAGGTGCATTGTGTGTGTGTGTGTGTGTGTGTGTGTCTGTGTGTGTGTGTGTGTGTGTGCATGCTTGCACGCGCTGGGATTTCTTAGCAGAATGCTTCTCGTTTGTGCCCTGCTGACAGCATCTAGCCACAGAAGCCAAGTTCTCTGTTGTTCACCTACCTTACAAGAACACTCAGAGCCCCCAAGGGGGTGATCAAGGTGGCAGGTGCAAAGGCATAAGCTGCAAAGTTCGCTGCCTCTCCAGCTCCCACTGGAAAGCAAACAGAAGTATGAGTGGGCAGGATAATATCAGAAGAGACAAGCAAACAACTCATGACAGCAGCAGACTTCTGTCTCAAAGATGCTAAGCCCTACCTGAAAGCAAAGGTTTAAACTTCTTGAAGCCTGTGGGAAAGGACCACTATTACTGGATGTACAGCTATGTAATTGTCAGTAAACAACAATGTAACAACGCTGAGGGATGAATGCACATTTTACACACTTTTCAGTTGAGACCAGCTAGCTCCTTGTATGTGGAAAACATATTTGGTCAGTTGAATGAAGTCAGTAGAGGAAGCTTTGGAGTAAGTTGGGAATGAGCAAATTTGCAATTTAGCTATAGCAGTACATCAGACATCTTATAAAATGAGAAGGGCCTATAGGGATCTGGTGTCTGGGAGGAAGATACCCAGGAACCCCCACCACAGGCCCACGGCAGGAATCTCTGAATTGGAGATGACCTATAAGCAAGTGATGATGTCTCAGAAACTCAAGAAGATCCAAGTAGCTAATGTTATGTCATCTGAGAAACCTGAGATCCGCACCAGGTAGTGTGTTGCAAATAACTTCCAGAGTGAGGGCAATTCCCCCCAAGAGCTGGCTTTTGTGTGGAAGACAGTTTATTCTCAGAGACCACAGTGGGACACTTTTCCAGAAACTGCAGTATTCCACGTTGTCCAACTGTGCCAAGCAAACACATACAGAGAGAGAAAATAGCAGTGTATAATCTTTTCTTTGTCTACTTTGCTACCACACCCAACCTACAGGAAACCCAGCATTAGAACATCATTAAAAAAATCTAAATTGTTGTAGAAACTACTTTAACTATGTTTACACATCTTTAGATGTGTTACATTTGTTTACGCTGTGGAATATGACTTAAGCTGTGGAAGGGTGCGTTACATTTGCTTATGCTGCATATGTTTAATGATGCACGGATGTGTGTTTAGTTATGTAAAGATGAGTTTCATTTGTTTCACCTTGCCTGCCTAAGGCACCTGACTGGTCTAATAAAGAGCAGAACCACCAATAGCTAGGCAGAGAGGGACAGGTGAGGCAGGCAGGCAGTGAGAATAAATGGGAGGAGATATCTGGGCTGGAAAAAAAACGAGGATTGGGAGAAGAGGAGAAAAGAAAAGAGGAGACAGAGGAGTCACCAGGCGCCAGCCACTCAGCCAGCCATAGAGTGAAAAGGAAAGAAAGACATATAGAGTAAAGAAAAGTAAAAATCCCTGGGGCAAAAGGCAGATAAAGAGAAGCAGGTCAATTTAAGTTAAACGAGCCAGCCAGAAACAAGCCTCAGCTAGGTCGAGCACTCAAAACTAATAAGTCTCCATGTCATGATTTGGGAGCTGATTGATGGCCCCAAACAAAAAGCCTGGTACACTAAATTTTCAGAGCAATTAGAAGACCACTCTCATTAAAAGAGCCAAGGCAGCCTTTTCAGACTACTCGGCTTCCTTTGAAGCCCTTATGTTGTTTATAGTTTCTATTTTATAGATGTCCTTCCAGGCAAAGCTTCCTCTCATATGCTGATAGCGAGATAGCCCCTCTAACGCATGTTCTCATCCACAGTACCACAGCTTTCCTTGGTATACATGGTACTGTAAATGCAGCCATACGATTTTCTCCTTAGATTTTCATTCTAAGATTTAGTTTTGTTTCATGCCTATGAGTGTTGGCAGGCATGTATATATGTACATTTTGTGGGTGCCTAGTGCCCACGGAGGTTAGACGAGATGGTCAGAACCCCTGAACTGATATTGAAGATGGCTGTGAGCCACCATAGTGCTTGGAACTGAACCCAGGTCCTCTGCGTGAGTATCATGTGATCTTAACCAGAGAGGCGTATCTCCAGTCCCTATATTTTTGTTTGAAAATGGGGGGAAGAGTGAGGAGATACATGTAAAACACACACAGAGAGTTAGAGGATCACATAGATAAGACAAACTGGAACCTTCCCAGGGCAGAGCAGTCAACTTTTATTCAGCAAACGGGTATGAACACTTCTGGAAAATGGAAAGAGCGCTACAAAACTTAAATGTTTTTTCATCACCCCTTTTAGCTTCCATCCTTGTTAGTCAGAAGATACTTAAGCTGTTTCTTTTGAAAAATTAAAAAATGTTTTCTTTATTTTGTGTGTATAAGGGGTTTGCCCCAGCGTATGTCTGTCCACCTGGGGCCTGTGGGGGTCAGGTGTCAGATCCCCTGGAACTGGAGTTACAGTTGAGGGCTGACACATGGGTGCTGGGACTCAGACCTGGGTCCTCTGCAACAGCATCGGTGATCTTTACTGTTGAGGCATCTCTCCAGCCCCCAAGTTCTTTCTTAGAGCAGGGTTTCTTAAATGTTGAAATAAGTTACTTGGCCATGGAAAGCAGGGACACTTTTGAATGAAAATATAAATTAATAAATAAGCCACCAAGCTGAGTTAAGAACTCAGAAAAAGAGCTGGAGAGATGGCTCAGAGGTTAAGTGTACTGGCTGCTCTTCCAGAGGACCGACTAGAGGACCTCGGTTCAATTCCTGCACCCACATGAATGCTCACAGTTACCTGTAACCCCAGTTCTGCAGATCTGATGCCCCCTTCTGGCCCTGTCATGGATAAGGTGCACAGACAGCCATGCAGGCAAAGCACTTATACACTTAACATATAAATAAATCTTACAAAAAAGAACTCAGAAGATACAGGAGGGAAGATATTTCTCAATTCTCATAGGAAATAGGAGAAGTTTGTGATAAACTATATTGGGACTCCCCATGGGAGGCTTCACCCTCACTGAGGAGTAGTAGGTGGGGGGAAGATAGGGGAAGCGGGAGGAGGGGGAAAAGGGGGGGGACTGGGATTGGTATGTAAAATAAAACATTGTTTAAAAAAATAAAATAAATATAATACTGGAAACACGAATTTCTTCCTTAGCATTCCTTAGCCAAAGCAGGAGGTGTGAAAACAACCTATATAATACACAGTTAAATAGAAGGTGATGTGTGACATCACCAGTCATTTCCAGACAGTTCCATCCTCTGCAGGAGGGAAGGGTAACTGAGTCTGAGAACTCCCGGCTTTCATACTTACTCGACAGCAGTCCTGCCCACCACATCCATTCCTTGAGGTAAGAATGTCCACCTTGCCCTGGGAAAAAGAAAAACAGAAAACAAAAATCAGGTCATCACCTCAGGAGATAAGAGCAAAACTGACTCCTAGGAGAGGAGTTGGGTGTTCTGCAGAAGGCAAGGCTCTTCCTGATCACCTCAGCAGCTGTCAGTCCTTCCCAAGGCCTTTCCGGGTTTTCTGTTACCTTTGACTCCCTAGAAAGTTTCTTTGACTTGTGGGGAATTTTACTTAATCACCAGGTTCAATAGCAATATCAGTCGGCAATACAGGCACGGGTATTATAAATTCTGAATTTCTTTGTTTCAGCCATGGTTAGCATTAAAACCCAAACCATAACTTGCAAGAGACACTGGTCCTAGAGGGAAGAAAATATTGGAGACAGGAGTTTTTGAGACTGTGGACGAGTCAGTTAAAGAACAACAAGCATTGGACTGGTGGGCTCTGTTTCTCCTTCATCTGGAGATATGGAAGGCTTTTCTGAAGCTGCCTGGACTCACCTCACCATGACCACAACGGCTGACCTGAGTCACTGCTAACATGTTAGCTAGAGAAAGGGGAATTTTCTCAGCTCTAACACTTCCTGACTTTGGCCTCAATGATTCAATAAACTAAGAGGATCTATAAGCAATAAAGATGATCTTGCAAAATTGTTTATCCCTACTTCTTTAGTATTTTCTCCTCATCGAATTTACTAATGACTAGACAGGCATCACCTCATCACACTGGAGGTTTGCATCTCTTCTCTGTGCTTTGTACTTGAAGGACTGACCTATTTCGTCAGGTGTGGTGGTTCGAAAGAAAATGACCCCCAAAGGGAGTGGCACTGTTAGAATGTGGCTTGTTGAAGTGAGTGTGGTCTTCCTGGAGGAAGTGTGTCACTGTGGGGCGGGCTTTGAGGTCCCTTTCATTCAAACTTTCTTCAGTGTGACTGTCCACTGACTTCCTTTGCCTGCAAGACGTTAACTCTCAGCTTCAGCACCATGTCTGCTTACTGCCGTGTTCCCCATCACGATGCAATTGCTCTTTATGTATTAGGAATTTTTATAACACTGTGTCATGTATTCATAGCCTCCTACATCATCTGATTGTTTAGTTTCAAGTAAGTTATTTCCAAATAGGATGTCTGTGTGTGACCTATTTTACTCACCTATTCAGAGAATTTCTTAAGTTACATAGAATAAATAGTGTTCTGCCAGGCGGTGGTGGCGCACGCCTTTAATCCAGCACTTGAGAGGCAGAGGCAAGTGGATCTAAGTGAGTTTGAGGCCTGGTCTACCAAGCAAGTTCCAGGATAGCCAGGACTGTTACACAGAGAAACCCTGTCTTGAAAAAAATACAAAAAAAGGTAGAATATAGTCTTCCTTTATACAGAATAGATTCATGCTTAAGAAGGCTTTTGGGGGGGGGGTTAAAATTATTTCGCGTTCATAGAACCTGGAGTGTATTTTGCAGAATGGTAACAGGCAGAACTCTCACATTTTTCCCCTCTACTTTTTCCAAAGTTGTCTCAATATTTTTAGTTGAATAACTCATTTTTATTCACGAGTCTGAAATACTACTTTTAGAAAGTATGTACTAGTGGCTACGTGTAATCTATTCTACTCGGACATCTTCAACAATCCCTTACTATTTATTTTAATTCCAGCACCAATTTGTTTTCATTAAGTCCAAAATATAGTATTTTTTTTTGATGGAGCAAAGCTCCTCACACACTGTCCCTTCAGAAACTTGTTTACATAACTTATAGTCACTTATTTTTCCATATTGACCCAGGAAAAATATTTAAGTTTCTTGTGCTATTATAGTTTATAAAATGAATATGAATGTGTGGATAATACAATCAAACAGGTTACTTGGCATCTGAAATATCACAATAAATAAATTGTAGTATAATTGTATCACTATTCATTGATTCCACAAATATTTGGTGGGTGCTAAACACTGTTGAGTGCATGTTTTATGAGTCTACTATCAATAAACAAGTAAACCTGATGACTGAAATAAATAATACATCCAATATCTTAGAGGCAATGAAGGGAACTGTGTGGTTCAATGACAGACACTGAGGGGGGGGTGGTGAAGGAGACCGGTCAAGGGAGGTGGACTATGGCAGAATTCAGAGCCGTCAGTCAGCTAGACGAAGGGCAGCGGGATGAGAGTTTTAGGAAAAGGGAAAAGCTCCTGGGGTAGAAGGGAATGTGCTCTATTTCAAGAACTCAGGTGAAGACTTTGCCTGTTGAACACGTTTCTTACCTGCTCTAGTAATGCCCTTGTTGGCCAGTTGCAAGAGACCCTTCTTCTTGAGTATGAAACTTGAGCCGATAAAAATGCTGGCGCTGATGGCCAGTGCCAAGCCGGCATATAGACTGTATTTGTTTTCCACGTTTGCTGAAATGCTGACATTGCTTAGAGTGGAGTTCAGGTCCGTGTAGAGGACAGGATAAGGCAGCAGCTGTGACACATTTGTGATTTCACAGGAAGCCTGGGAAGAGTTTGGACAGACCAGAGACAGCACGTAACCTGGTAAAAGAGAGAGGAGGAGATGTTAAAAATGCAAGGGAGCTAGGTAAAGGCTTATTCCTTTCCACAAAAGAGATTTCAGTGGATGGAAGCAGGGAACTTCCTAAGAGGTGGTCCACAGGTCAAAGATCTTCTTCTTCTTCTTCTTCTTCTTCTTCTTCTTCTTCTTCTTCTTCTTCTTCTTCTTCTTCTTCTTCTTCTTCTCCTCCTCCTCCTCCTCCTCCTCCTCCTCCTCCTCTTCTTCTTCTTCTTCTTCTTCTTCTTCTTCTTCTTCTTCTTCTTTTCTTCTTTTCTTCTCCGTCTCCTCCTCCTCCTCCTCCTCCTTTTCCTCCTCCCCCTCCTCTTCTTTCTTTTTTCATTCAAGACAAGGTTTCTCTGTTTAGTCCTGGCTATCCTGGAACTCACTCTCTAGACCTAGACCTGGCTGTCCTCCAACTCAGAGATCTGCCTGCCTCTGCCTCCCTAGTGCTGGGATTAAAGGTAATGCGCCATCACTGTTCAGCCCTATACACACTTTCAATTTAGCTTGCACACATTCTTAAAATTATTTAAAAATGAGAGATTTCCCATGGAAGTTCAGGATCCTCTATCAATTGGGAGCACGTAGGTCTTGGTTCCAGTAAGGAAGCAGCCTCTTGGAAACGTGAGTGCTTGCGTGGACGTGGCTGATGCTCCACAGTTCACCACAGCCCAGCCCACCCCATCCACTGCACTCCTCATGATCAGGCTGGCTCTCAGAAAGAAGGGCTTGTGGACAGGAGTGTGGAGAAGGTTATGGCAATGCTACTGGCTTATAAACTACCCTATTATAGGAAACTTAGCTGACCCATTTGTGAGTTAGGAATTGTGCATTCCAGAAAATACATTAAACTTTAATTTTGCATGCCGCTTGCCCAAAGAAAATCATATTTCAGTCTAACTAATTGACTTGCTCCTGAATAAACAGAATATTGTGGGAAAAAATGAATTAAACATCAGTAGGCTTTATAAAGAATAAGACCCAAGTAAGAATGCAAACCCACTGCACCAGACCCATTCCATGCATTGGAATTTTTAGACTAAACCCTAAAATATGAAATGGAAATATTTTACACAAGATAAGAAACTTCTAATAGTTTTTCACTCAAACAGATTCTGAGTCAAAACTTTTAAATATTTTTAAAAAATTACATAATTTAAGGGATTTCTGAAAAAAAAATACACTGAGAAATGTTCTAGAACATTGCTCTAAATGAGTAACTGCACATGTTTCCAGTAGCCAGGACTCCATGCTCTTCCAGTGGGCATCTCATCAAACCCAAGACGTGAGCTGTGCGTGGTGGCACTCCCGTGTAATTCAGGCCCTTGGGAGTTCAGCTTACAATTTTGAGGTCAGCCTGGATTACAGGAGGAGAAGCAAGCAAGCAAACAAACAAACAAAATATAGTCAACCAAAGAAACAACCAACAACAAACAGATGAAAAGAGAGCCCGGGAGCATTTTTGCTCGGTGCAATTCTGATTCCATTCATTCCTGAGAAAACATTGAACTTAACTTCCCAATGCATTCCTGTCCTTCACAGGCAGCTAACATAACCATTCCAGAACTTCATCTACGAAATTGGGGTGGGCGGACCTCATTCCAGGAAAACAATATGCCTTCTAAGCAGCTGATGGAGCAAAAACATTTCCTCCTCTTTAGGGGGTGTGGGGACAGCGGCACAAAGGGAATGAAATAATCTTGGTTGTATTTTCCAACTTCTCTGCATAAGGGGCAGAGTAGAAGCCTGGGAATTTTGTGACAGGAAAAATAATGAAAGTCTTGCCTGGTTACTGACCTTAGAACGTCAATCATTTTATGCTTTGGGAGTGTGTTCAGGGAGGGAAGCCCACAGAGGCTGTGACTGAAGGAGAGGGTGTGGAGGTACCCAGCACATGGGGACAAAATGGGTGGGGCAGAATGTGTGGGTAGAGACCCTGGAGAAGTTTCAAAGCTATCTCTAATCAGAGTAGGCGTCTCAAGATCCCAGGAAGCCAAGTCATTATTCAAGGAGTTCAATCTAGACTTTACTCAACACTGAAAGTCTATAATAGTCATTTAAAAATTGTAATAGACACTGTCAGTCACTTTGAAAGTGACGTCAGACAGCTTGCTCAACCGCTCAGCTTCTCTGATGTTATTTCTTAAAATATTAAGTGAAAAATAGGAGATATGTGTCATTTGTAAAAAAAATAATTAATAATGCTTGAACTATGTCAATGAATCAACCACACAACTTAAGAAATAAAATATTACTCCTTATAGGTGGCATCTACCCTGGACTCTCTTTAAACATTTCTCTCCTTAAAATGGTGACTTCCTTGCTATAGTGCCACTGCAAAGGGCACAGCTAAGCAACCTGAGTCAACCTTTTTATTTCAGAAAATTATAAACATAACAGATTAGTAAAGCCTGTAAAATCTTAATGTTCACACAAAGATGAAACGCTTTCATCTCTCAAAACCTTATATGCCTATAGAGAATCATTTAACTGTCCAGTTTATGACAGGCTATCTGACATCTAGGAAGTGTGTGGTTGGGGACAGCTACATTTCAACTTGAGAATCAGAGCAATGCATTCCCAGGCTGCAGAAAGCATTGTCTCACCATCTAGTCCTCTGCGTTGATTATCAGCCTTCCCACTGTCGGCAGATGGTTCTTCCCCTGATGTAGACCAGATGTTAAATGTTCAGGAAAAGCCTCCTGCCCAGGGCAGTACTATTGGGAGAGAGCGGCACCGCCAAGAGGTGGGCTCTAGTGGGCAGGGGGTCTTTGAATCATTGGAGGTGTGCCCTATCATGGCACACCTTCCAGGTTTTTCCCTCTCCCCATGATGAGGTGGGCAGTTTAGGCCTGCTACATGCTCCTACTGTGACAGGCTGCCTTACTACAGCTCCAAAGTAATGCGATAAGATGTCCCAGACTGGAACTTCCAAAATTATGAGCCCAAATGTATTATTCCTCTTTATAAATTGATTCTCTCGGTTGATTATTCCTGCACTGATACTAAAAGGTCACCAGAGGTGATATGAATCCAAGCTTCAGCTTGCTCATAAAACCTCTCACTATCTCTTCCTCCCTCAGAGGTCTTATTCAGTCGAGGCTGGCTTTGAACTTGCTACGTTAGCAAGAGTGACCTTGGACTTGGGCTTCTCCTACACCCAAATGGTGGGATTACAGGCATGCACCATCACACCTAGTTCATGTGGAGTTTGAGATCAAGCCCAGGGTTGTATTATAGTTGGTAAATACTCCACCAAATGAGCAACATCCTTAGCCTGAGAAGACTCTTGCACATCTGGAATTCTCAAAGCTGCTGCTGGCCTTTCAGCCTGGGTCCCACTCAGGAAGAAAACACAGAGAAGACCTGAGAACCAGTCGCAGGCAAATACGCGGCCTGAGGCAGGAACCCAGTCTAGCTCACCCTCAGCTGACTTGCAGACACACCGGCAGGAGTAGAGTACAGCTACCCGTCTCTTTGGCATAGAAAATCTGAAGGAAGTCTTTCTGCCCACCACAATTCACTCTGCAGACTCGAGTCACCGTCGGCCAGGTTACACCTTCCTTCCTCAATCTCACGAACTATAGCGTCGTTTTCCATCCTGATTACAACAAAGCTTCAATTGCTCCCAACCCTCGACTTTAGAACCTCATATGCTCTGGAGCTTGCTGGCCTCTGACCCTGTACTACATCGCTTCCCCCTCTCACCCGTTCCTCAAACAGTACAAGTTATACCTCCATTCGTCCATCCAAATATTCACGGACTTTCGACTGCCCCGAATCTTTTAGAAGCTGGGGGTATAGCCGTGAGTGTAACAAAATTCTCACTCTCTTGTTTCCTAACGAGGAAGGATAGAGAAAGGAACTGTGTAATATGCTTAAATGCCAAGAAACGCAGGGAAGGTGCATATATGTGTGTATTCCAGAAACAGGATGAGGCAGGAGACGTCTCTGCTACATGTAAAAGCCAAAATTGGAGACAGAAGGGTGTCTGAGGGTAAAGGGACTGTGTAGTCAGCTGGGTGACAGGGGGGAGATGCAACAAGATGTGGTCTCAGGGCAGTTGGGGCAAGATCGGGTGAACTGAGCTGGTGGCAAAGAAGGTCACACCCTGTCGATCTTCTGTCTTCTTTCCAGAACTCTGCACTGACTCTCCTTTTCATTTGGAAAGCGCAAGCACCCTGCCCTGTACTCTACAGACTTGCATCCTGCTTCCTCTGTGAACCCTCACTAGATCCAACTCCTCTGGAGTTGTCTTAGGCTAGTTCTTCCTCGCCTTACAGCTTTTGTAGAGGCTACTATTCAGTCCATTATAGAGAGCTAGCACACATAGCCAGCTGCTTCTCGGCACTCAAATGCTTCCTCCTAGGTTTGTGGGCATAGCTCAGCGTCAGAATGCTAGTACAATACACCCCACCACACCACAATCCTTAGACAGCCATTCTCTGCAGTCCCAATCAAAGAAGCTTTCAATTCCCTCTCAGCAAAGCCCCCCAGTTAATGCCCCGGATCAACTACCCTTCTCCTCGCAGCCTACGTTGTTATAGCACTTGCATATCCACACAGTTATGGATTTGCTCAACCAAGCAGCCGTTGAGCCCACACCACCCAAGACGCCAGGCTAGCTATGTATTTATTCACGGGTAGTCAGTGAACTGGTGAGGGAGGTCAACAGGACAAGCCAACTGGCTGTGGCTCCCACAGAGTCGACGGTTTTAACGAAAGCACAAGAAACCAGAATAAATGGGGAAGGCAGAACAGGAAAGAGAAACCATTTAGACTAATTTGAAACAGAATGGGGGTTAGAAATAAATTAGAACAAATTTGGAGCAAAATGAGGAAGAACTGCACAGATTTGGACATCACTTCAGAGCAGACAGATGTGCATGTGAATTCTCCCACAGCTGAGTAAGATGCCCATTATCCCAATTAACAAAACAGAACTGAGAGACGAGGGTGCAGCTCAGAAGCACATGCTTGTCTGGCATGGGGAGGCCTGAGGTTTAACCTCCAAGCACTTCAAAGACAAAGAAATTGCAACGAAAAACAGTGCGGTAGATGCAGCAACAACAAAATGCTTCAAAACGGAGGTGAGAAGCTGCCACAGGTGTAAAACCTCTATTTTCATGTCAGGTCTTCTCCAAGTGGCCTGCGGAAGGGCAGTGTCACAGGACCGCTGGCCCTGAGGCTTTCCATAGTGAGCTGCTGCTTTCCCACACTCTACCACCAGTAAGACAGGTCAGCCAACTGCTAAGAGTTGAATCCTCTTGGGGGCCGCGGGACCACGGGGGTTGGGGGCACCCAGGTGTGGTTGTGCACACCTTTAATCTCAGGGCTCAGGGGCAGAGGCTGGGTGAATCTCTAAATTTAAGACCAGCCTGATCCACATTGTGAGTTCCAAGCCAGCCAAAATAAATAAATAAATAAATAAAATGTGTAGTGAGACCCTTCCCCCAAAACACTAAAAATGAATAAATGAGCACATAATTTGAAATGAAAAGCAGGAAAGGAACACAGGGGCATTCCAGTGACCTTGCACACATACTGAGCATTTTAAAAGCAATCATTTATAGTTCATACTAAATATTAGGCTCATTAATGGACATCATTGCTTTCTGAACAACTTTTAGTGGAGAATTTTATTTTCTTTTTAAGTAGTGCTTAATTTTGGCACTTATGAAATCTTTATGACTTAGAAAAAACCCTTATCTTAGTTTTCTTATTAAGATACAAAGAAAATTTCCTTCTGAGAATTTGATAAGCAGTTATACTTTATACAAAAAATGAACGTCTTAATAAAATCTAATCATATGATAGATTTTGAGAAACGTCTTTCACGTGTATTTTTTTTTTAAAAGTGACACATTGAAATTCTAAACTCACATCAGGTCTCAGGGGCCATAAAATGGGTAGGGCACTGTGTGTTAGCTCCAGCTGGAATAACCAAGCAGCGCCTATGTTGATCTCTAAACAGGAATTATTTCCCACATCTCTGGAGGCTGGGAGTCTGAAGTCAGCCTGGCCTCGTGGTTGGGCCCTTGGCGACAGCCTCCTCTTCCCTATAGGGGGAAATTTCAGGCACTATAGGCCCCAAATCCCAGATGCTACAAAACATCAAGCTTTAGAGCACTAATAAATAGGACATTAGGGGGAAATTCCACACCAGGCAACTCAGTTTTATCTAAAAACTTATTTAAAAATATTGTATAAAATGATCTTCAGAAAACATGTATAATTTTTATATGAAATGTGTGTGAATTTATTACTCAGACTTGAGTCCCATTCCCAAGATATCTCATTATGGTTACATAAATATTTCTCCAATCCCAATATCTGAAATACTTCTGATCCTAAGCATTTAAATGAGGGTCACGCAGGCTGTAATCTCCTGCATGAAGGCCTCACTCAGCCCTATGACCAAAGGCCCCATTCCTCAACCCTGCCACATTGGAATCAGGGCGGCAACGTGAATCCAGGAAGGACGCACTGCTCAGTGTACTGCATGCCCTTTCAAGCGAAATACAGGCCCAAATAATCCCATGCTTATTGAACACTCACTCTGAAGCCGTATTAAATTCTCCAGTTCAGTTTCTGTATCTGTAAGATGGAGACTAGAACTACGGAATTTAGTTATGCACGAGAGTGAATGAATACACATTTTATATGAATGTCTCGATATTTCATCAATATGGAAATAGACGAGGAAGGCATAGCCAGTTCTCAAAGAGTCATAATTCCTCAGTTGCCAATTCTTAAAATTTTTTAAAGTTATTTTTATCTCAAGGATATGTGTTTTGCCTACGTGTGTGTCTGTGTGCTACATTCTTGCATGGTGGCCGAGGTCAGAAGAGGGGGCTAGATCCCCTGGAACTGGAGTTGCAGATGGGTGTGAACTGCCTTGGAGATGCTGCAGTTAAACTCACGGCCTCGGAAAGAGCCCTCAGTAGGCCTGACCACTGAGCCATCTCGCTAGCTCCTGGTTCCCGCTTCTTAAAACCAAAGATATTCAGGTCAGGAAGACAGACAGCAACAACCCTATACACCATCACAGAGCCTTTTCTCTTTTGTCTAGCCATAACCTGAAAAGTGGCTCGCTCCATGAAAGAAAACTTTGGAAACCCCAGATTCCTCTCTGTCTGAAGCTTGCTTTTCCAACCCCAAGTCAGTTAAGAATTCCTCTGAGATGAGAATTTATAAATGTCCTTTTGGTTGCCAAGTCATCATAACGTCACCTCCACAGTCCCTGACAGAGGATGCTTCTGCAGTTGGGGTGTCCCAGGTGACGGCTGTAGTTTTCACATTCTGTTTTTATGGGCCACGTCTCCAATGTTAATAAAGCCCCACTGGCTGTTCAACTCCATCTGAGTTCTGTTAGAACACTTGCAAACAGTACTGAAAAAAAACCAAACTTTTTTTTTTTTGAGATAACTTGGGGTTATAAGGTGTTTTGAAGTATTCAGTCATGGTTTAAAAAATTGAAACCAAAGTGCTACTGTAAGTTTTTCTCTGTGGGCCTCTAATGGGACTACTTTATGTTCAGACTCCATGACTGGAGCCTCTTTTGGTCTCAGCTAGACTAACACTTTCTCTAAGGGATCTGGGCCCCCAGTCTTCAGGACCCCGCCCCCACGCTGTCAGGGTCTTATCTCTTAGATTTTGCCACCATCATAGGGCCATTATCAGTTCATTTGGGTCTTGGTAACTATCTGTCACTAGGGTAGGAAACTGCATGAGCCTTCTAGAGTCAGGGCCAGACTGATGACAATTTTTCCTAGAACCTAGGCCCAGTGCTTGGCTCACAGAACTCTTGTTCATCACCTCAGAGGAGTCAGTGAGAAGCACACTCTGTCTAAGCCCCCATCAGGCACTGCCCTGTGGGTTTCCGGTGGTATTACACCAGCACCTACTGTGACTGCCAACAGCATGATTTCTTGCCACTTTAGAGATAAAGAAAGAGTCTCTGCCTCCTACTGGAAACACAGATGAACCTCTCCCGACTTCCCCAGCAACTTCCTGCACAATTAATCACAGAGGTGAAACAGAGCTCCAATATTTTGTCTTACTAAACGCATGCGTAAAGCAGGAAAAATATCCAGAGGTCAAATGAGTGGGTGCAATCAGCTTACAGATCCCTGAACAAACAAGGGCAGGGTGCATTAGTGCCAACATGACTTAGTGACTTCAGAATTATTTAGAAAGGGGATTAACTCCAACATGGCTGTCTAGGAAGTAACTCTAGATACAGCTGTCTTAGAGACCACCAATGTCAATTCGAGGAGAGTTGGTGAATTGTAGCGACATTTTCTTTTACATGTCTCTCCCGTTTCTTACTAGCTGTGTTTTGATGCCTTCCTCCCTCTCTTCCTCCCTTCTCTCTCCTCTTCCTTTTCTTTCGATTCCCCTAGTAAGCTATACACCAGAGAAGCCAATAGGAAACGACATGAAAGATGTTGGCAAAAACTGAAAGGTGCGGTTTTACTAGACAGTTCTCTGCCCTCTTTCTCTTTGAGTCATTGGCAAGTAGATTAGAAATGGCCTTTGCCCGGACGCTGTAAAAAATGATCACTTCATTTGCAATGCACACTTCCCAAGACTGCCCCACTCCTTCCCTGCTTCCATCCCAGTTCACTCTCGCATTCTGTGATGAGACGGTAGGAAGCCAGTGGATGTGCTGAACATCTATCTGGCAGAGAGCAAGGCCCAGGGATTTTACAGGGCAAGGTGAGGGCCGTAAATCCCACAGTGGTCCGCTGGAAGAATTTACAAAAGGGCACGCCCAGTTCCCTGTTTGAGTAATTTCCCTACTCAAGGGACTGCTCGGCAAGTCATATTCTTAGCTCGGTGGGAGCTGTTCCATTCCGAAGGCAGAGCAGCCACGCTAGCGCCCGCCCGACTGTGCCGAGCGACTTCTCAGTGGGACCCAGGCGCAGCCACGAAGGACGCAGCGTGGGAGACCCGCGGGTTCCCCGGCACGCCCTCTGCCCAGTAGGTGGCGTGGATCACGGACTCTGGAATTGAGGCTGAGTCAGAGGAAACTTCCTCCGCGGTCCTTAGCATCCCGAGTTTCCCCGCCACACATTCATTACTACGCAAATGACACGGGCCCGCCCCGAGACCAAGTGGGCGTCCCGTCAGTCCTGCTCCCATTTGGGCTTTCCCATGGAGCCTGGAGTGTGGTGGGCACAGCTCAGCACTTACTGTCCGGTTGATGGAACAGCCGACTGAACGGTGGGAACACTGAATGACGAGGGAACCATGTTAAAAAAAAAAAATTCGCACATTTCCTCCGGTCTGGTTGTATCTCAGTCCGCGCATCTGGGCTCCCAGCTACTTAAGTGCAGGTATCCCGACTCCCCCGCCACCGGGGCTGACGCTCACCTTCTCGGCAGGGCTCTCCGGGCGGCAGCCTCAGCTGACCCCCCATGGCCTGGGGTCCGGGCTTCCTCGGCGCCGGCGTAGTTTCTCACACACCTGTGTCCCGGGACCCGCGGAGGAGCTTCGGAGTCCTCCGAGAGTGTGCGGTCTCCTCCCCCGTGGCAGCCTCAGCCAATGAGACTGGCGGGGTGTGGCAGCGGAGCGAGCCGCGCCCCCTGGTCGGGTGGTTGGAGGCGCATTCTCCGCCCATCGACAGCCGCCGAGGTTCCTCCGGTGTCCTACGTGTCTCTAGGGTGGACCAGGGGTTCTGCGGGTGAGCTGTCCAGAAACACCTGTTCCAGAAGTTGATGAGGTCACAGCGTGGATGCTGCCGAAGCCAGTCGGGGAGTTTACTGGAGTAGAGTCTGTGCTGAGCCCCGCTTCTGGCTGTCCGGGAGCCGAAGATGTGCTGGCTGGTGTCTGTGGGTCCTGCTCATGGGGGAGTCTTCCATCACTGGCTTTTGTGACACAGGGCTGGAGGCTGCCGCAGAGCCCTGTCTGCGGGACTTCTGAGCTGAGTGCATGCGAAAGTTTATTTTGGAAATTTTTGAACAGGCTTGGGGCTTCTGGTTCTCTTACGTACCCCCCTTCGTTGTTCTCCACGCCTGCTTATTTTCAACCAGCAGACATCGCCCTCTCCTTACCCCCACGCCCAGTCATATAGATATGAAATGAGCTTTTAACGGAACAGCAATGCCCAAACTGACAAGATCTGTTCCCACACTGAGGTTTATGGTATTAGCAATACGTCACACTACAGGCACATACATGAATCGACTCATGGTATCGTGCGGTTAACTCTAGTTCGCAGAGGAGGGATTCAAAAGAAAGAGTGAGGCGGAGAACCTAGCCACGAGGTATCTATACCTCGAGAAGTGGGCACACTTCCTGCTGAAAGTTTCAGAAGGAAGAACCGGAAGCGTGCATGCGTGTGGGCTGCTTTTGTGCCCTGTCTCTTAAACGCTGTACTCCTATCTGCTCTCCTCCCTTTTACTCTGGGGGTTCTTGAGCAGCTATTAACTTAATTGCCTAAGAGTTTCACTGCAGAGATCCAGCTTGCTTTTCTTGTTTCCAGGCTTATGAGACAAGACTTAAATCCAAGTTAGTCAATAATTCAAGGTGCATACTTTTTACGTGGGTATGACTTGTGGAAGACTAATGGGGTGGGAATAGGAACAAGTGCCAGTGGCAAGGCTGACTTAAGACAGCTTTAGGTAGGGAGCCTTGTGAAACAGACGTCTATTTAAACGCTTTCCTCGGACATCAGAGTTGAAGTTTATCTTCATCGCATTGGCAATGATTAATAAATCGTTATCAGGTACTTATATCGGGTGCATATGACTATTTAACGAACATCAGTTACTATATGGCAAAAAGTATCCTAAGCACGTCATAAAACTTTTTTAATTCGTATTTTTAAAAAAGCCAGAAGGGGATACCAAATATTTTGCTCTATTGCTCTTCCCTTTATTCCCTTGAAATGGGGTCTGTTCCTGAACTTGGCCCTAGCCTAGGCAGCAAGTCCCAGAAATCCTTCTGGTTTTGTCCTCCAGAATGCTGCATGTAAGCCATGTTAGCTTTTTAAGTGGGTTCTGGTCCTCTTGCACATGCGGAGATGCCATTACCTTCCAGGTCACCTCTCCTGCACTCTGAGATGAAGGTCTGTTTTCACAGGAGGTACATTGTTAGAATTCTTGCTTATTTCAGTTCTGGAAATATAATTAAAAAAAACTCTGAAAAAAAATATTCAAACTTACTTAAGATCACTGATGTCCCAAGTCCAATGTGGCCTACGCAGAAATCGACCATGAATTTTCCTTCCCTGACTACTTCTAGATGAACAGATATGTGGACACCACACAGAATGTCATTAGTGCATTAACGGGGGTGAGTGCTATTCCCATCCAAGACTATGCTGTTTAACCCAAAGAAGAATAACACTTAAAGGTCTCCAAGGTGCCCACTCTTGATTTTGGGAAATCCTTTTATGATTCAAAACATAGACTGTGACAGCAAACAAGGCATTCTAAAAGGCAGACTCCCATTTACTGGACTCTGTGCAAGGTCACTAGACCCAGCGATGGTTGTGAAAACTGAAGGTTGGTGATGCTTCTGAGTCTGAGGAATCAAAGTCACACTGTCTTGGAGCTTGGGCAGGTTCGGAGAGTGCCTCCTGTATGAACTTTTAACCTCCAAACTGCTACATTATGGTGAGTTGCAGTTCCCTGGGCTGGGGGTGGTGGCAAGATGAGGGGTAGCTGGTAGGTAGGCAGTCATTTGTAATGTGTTCTATGTAACACTAGCTCACTGCTGTTAGTTTGTCATGGTCCCCACCGTTTATCAGTCTATTTAAGGGGCTGTCAGTTTTGATAATCTTCCTAAGAAGCAACTGATTTTCTTCTGCTGACTCAAAACTCATTGTCTCCTGTTCTTATTTTGAATACTTTCTTCCTTATACTTTGAATTTAATTTATTTTTTGTACTTTTCAATGGAAAATTTCAGATAATTGATAATGAGCACTTATTGTCTTTTAATATGCATATTTCAAATATGTATATTTGAAAGGCTAGGGAGATGTGTCTGTGGTTAAAAGTGGATACTGTCTTGGAGAGAACCTGAGTTTAGTTACCAACATTCACACCTGACAGCTCACAATTTATGATTTCAGCTCAAGGGAACCCAACACCCTTTTCTGACTGTCATGAGCTCATGCACACACACACCTTTAATCTCAGCAACTCTGGAGGCAGATGCAGGTGGATCTCTGAGTTTGAGGCCTGCCTGGTCTACAGACCAAGTTCCAGAAACTTGAAAAACCAAAACCAAGCAAACAAATAAAGCAGAAAACTATGTATTTGAGGCTACCATTTAACTGCAAGTACTACATCAGCTCCAGCCTACAAATTTTGTTGCATTGTGTTTTTATTAACATTTAGTTCACAATATTTAAAATCATTCGTTTTCGTTTCTTCCTTAATCTGTTTCACTTAGGAATACATGGCTTGGCTTCCAGACGCTTGGTACTTTCAGGGCTGCAGTTTCCCATTTCTTTCGGACTGACCCTACTTTCTACAGTATGTAGAAGAAAATGGGAAAATCTTTCACTTGGTCCAGTAAATCCTAGGAACCACATATGCAACACTTTACTTCCCAGATCTCCCTCCCCCTAGTATGTTCTTGGTGCCCTTTCTGTCTTGTCAAGCTAACCTCTTCTTGAGTTGCTTTAAGTCAAACAAATTCAGCATCACTCTTGAATCCATCTTTTCATTCCCACCCCGCAGCCACTCAATCAGCAGATCTTATTTGCCTCTGCTTTAAATCTATATTTAAAATCTTATCCCTTCCTTCCACCCAACTCCCACCATCCTGGTTAGAGTCACAGTCACCCCTTACTGAATTACTGCCACAGTGTTCTAGCGTTCCCTGCCTCATCTTCCTTCTCAGACCGTAGTTCCCTAACTTCCTCTATCCCTTGCTAATGATGACGGTGTCTCTGCTTCTCCTTGACAATCCAACAGAACCTTTCCCGGGAAGTGGGCATGGCTAGTACCGTCACTGAACTCAGGTCTCCCCTGAAAGAAGCTTTGCCTAAGGCCTCCCTTGTGCCATTTTCCTCCTGACCACACCTGGCTTACGTGTCCCTCCTGTATTTGATCCTTCTCCTCCTCATCAGAATGCTTGCTTCATGAGGGTAGAAATTCACTCTTGTTAGCTATTGACTTCCTAGTGCTTAGAAGAGAACCTGGTATTTCATATACTTGAATGAATAATTTTGCATCGTAGTGAGCCACACGCTACATGTTGAGTAACAAGCAAATAATGGGCACAGCCCTAAACTCAGAGGGTTTATAGTTCTTACAGGAAAGATCATCATTTTGTTGTTAAGCAATTAATTATACAATCTTTAATCCTAAAAGTGGAGGTGTCATAAGGCCTGAGCTGGCTGAAGGTCTTGGTGGGCTGGGAGACAGGTTATCATATACCTAACACAGAGTCAAAAACCAGAATTTCTCAAATCATAGTTTTTTAACAATGGAGATTCATAAACAACCGATTTCATGCAAATGAGCATCTATAGTTACAGGCACTTGAAACAGGATTATAAGACTGAGAGGACGCTGACTAAGCAGGACAGAGAGCCGGGGGAAAGTAGCCTATTAAGTAGATAATCCTTGTAGCTGTGTTCTCTCTGTCAGTCAAGGTTACCACAGATCCCAGGAAATGACACTCAGCGACAGGTGGACTGGGTCAAGCTAAACACACTGTAGAGGGGAAAATAAAACATCACAAAGTATCCTTACCCCTTTAAACTTGAACTGGTTGGGGAAACTTCCTATTATATGTTTCATATACACAGACAAAATTTCTACTTACCTTCAGCTTCACCAAGAAACACACCCCTTCCCTAAGGCTTCCGTGTTCTCGTCCCTTCCTTCTTAAATAGTCATGCTCCTTGCATGTGGTCCCTCAGGTCTGTATCACAACCTCTCCTAATGGTCTCCCTCCCCAGCACGGTCTCTGAAGACAGGACTCAGACCCCCGCTCCCGAACAGCTTCCCTGTCCATCACAGGTGCTCAGGGGTAGCTGCTCCCGGCAGCTCCTCTAGCTCATCACCGTCTCTTTGAAAAGTGTCATGACAGGGAAATCACAAGAATGCGAACATCCTGCTGCTTGAGGACACCTGTTGTATTTATCTTAGTTGCATCTTCCATGTGTGAAGGACAAGAAAAGACTGCGCCAAACTAGTCCTAGAAATGAACATTTGAAGCCAGAAAAAAATGTGTGTTTATTTAACTTCTAAAAGGAATCAGACACGTTTGTATAAGAACATGAGTAATCACTGTAATTTAAAGTTATCCCTAGCTACTTATCTGTTAAACGTTACACTAACTACCTGCCCATTTGAGGACTTCCACAAATATCCTTATTACTGTGTCTCGTTTTAATACTTGTAATATTATAACCCTGGAGAAAATTGGCAACAAGATTTTAATAAAATCCATTAGGCAGAATTTTTTGTTTGATTTTCAAACATTTGAAGCGACGTCCCGTTGAGAAAGGCCTTTATTTATCAGACACATGCAGATTAATGGGCTCAGGTTCACACCAAGGATAAGGATGACTTGGGTGGTGTTATTTTCACCTACACACAAATCCGCAAATCCAGGACTGAGCCGCGGACGTCCTCCCCGGCCGATGCCATGGAACTTACTTTTCTGAGGAATAATTAATAAAGCGAGCCATTTGTGCCGCTTAAGGAGAGGAAGAACAATGTCATATTTACTACTAAAGGAAAGTTACAACTGAATTTTGACAATGCCAAGATTAACCATATATCTGAGTCTGTTTTGGATGCATCACTGATCGACACTGCTGGGAGACAGGCATCTCATTTAAACAAGCACAGGTAAGAGCCCAGTGATAATTTTAGATATACATACATACATACATACATACATACACATACATACATACACATACATACATATACATACATACACACACATACATGTACATACATACATATACATACATATATAATATATAAAATTTATGTTGGCATGTGTTTTTATTTACAAATATCCAAGATTTTGTGTTGGTTCCCATGATACAGGGTTTGTAGAAACAACTAATAACTGAATCTTGATCGTCTCTGCATTTTGATTCAGATTTGTGAATTAACATGCAAGTTTAATTAAAATTAGCAACAAAGAAAGGTCTTACACTATGACTTTGTTAATCTGGATATTATAGCTGTAAATACCACTGGGATTTTGTGAATTTAAATTTACTTTAAGAAATCCAAGGCAATGATCGTGACAGCTGTGTGTTTCCCCCAAAAAAGCATTAGATCTTTCTCTTTACAGTGTGTGAGGATTGAACACCAAACTCACACAAATGGTGACAAAGTGTTAACTGTAGAAATGTGAATTCCAATTTTTTGGAGACTTCCAAGTGTTCTGGGCTTTTAGAAGTACTTCTATGTTAGGTTGGTCCTCCATTCAGAGACGAAGACGTGGTCTGTGGGGAAAAAGGGACTCACAGGGGTGCCCCTCTCTCTTCAGTGAGGGCCAAAATTTCACCATGCCAGCTACTTTCTTTCTGCTCTCTTTTTCCAGTGTGTGTGTGTGTGTGTGTGT